GAATCGAAGGCCGCAGGGGGGTCATTTGCAATTTGGACAAGTGGTGGAACTGAAGCAAATTGGGGCCGGGGGTAGCCGAAATTGAGATACGATTGGTTAGCGACAAACAAATAAAGTTATAAAGCAACAGAATGCCAACTTGATTCCTAAAAATTATTCATTTTGTGGGGCACGAATAAGCTATACGTAGATTTGGCAGCAGGCAGCAGGCAGCATCTGAGAGCCTCGTTTTGGTTTTAGGAATATTCTTTCTTTTCTCATCTCTCCATTTCCATTTTGTCGCGTCATAAATCATAATAGACCGGGGGGCTTCATATGCATTCTCGTTCAGAGAAGATTCCCTTGTTAACACAGCATGCCTTAGTTTTTATTTTTTTCACTATATATGTAATAATAATAATAATAATAATAATAATAATAATAATAATTGACTATGTAAATTTAAAAGGGTATTTGGTATTGTAGTGTTTTCCTGTTTTGAGCCAAATATACAAATTTCATTCTTCAAATACTCATATTACAATCATAGGGAGAATAATCAACAAGAATAGTAAAAGAAAAATGCCAAAAAGGTCATGAATAAAAGCAGTAATTATATTGTAATCTGTTCTTCACACCGACCTCACAGTCGCATTCCTAGTGTATTAGGAACATCTTCTCATGAATATTAAATATAAGTATGAAAATTATTTCCTATGTATGGCCAAGATATGTTGTGAGGTCAGTGTAAAGAGCATTTTGTGAGGAGCAGATCCGGACTATTAAATTAGGGAGATTCCTTGTAATCAGCCTAAAAGTCAAGAAACACCAAAAGGAAGGCCATCTGCCTCTAATAGAGATCAAATTGATGATCACAACTCCCATGGCCATACTAGCAGCAACAAGCTCAGGTTTAAAGAAATAGATTGCTATGGCAATCCTAAACCCTAGCAAAAAGGTCATTAATTAGGAAAGGGATCTGTTCCTCACACTTAGGCACCTCACATGCACATCCACTGTGCATAAGAAACATTTCTCGTGAAAAATAACTTATAAGTACAGGAGATGTTCCCAATGTATGGTAGGATGTGCGTGTAAGGCGCGTGTATAATGCCCTATGTGAGGAGCAGATCCGGTCTCCATTAATTATACCCAAGTTTATCTATATTATTATAAAAGCAAAACTAATTTTTGACTTGGTTTTGATGCACTTAGATCATAAATAGTTATATTTGATTTAATAATATGTTAATTTATATCTTTTATCATTTACTAGTACACACTTGCAAAAAAGCCCCCACCCCCTCCTCTAATCTCCCCATGAATTGAAAGTGAACCATCACTTTAATTGCAACTTTTAAACTTAAATGGTAACAATTGAAAAACTACAATGTTTTTGGGCTGAATATGTTATATATGGTGTATAATGGTTTATTAATTATAAATTTAAACATCGAATGATCACATAAAACAACATGGAATGATCACATAAATTCAAATGCAAGAACTGTCTTTTCAACTTTTCCCGTGACATTCCACGCACATGATAGAATGTACGTTGTGGTGTGACCATTTGAAAGTTAAATCTTGTAAAACCAAAAAACAGTTAAAGGTACGTCAAATGACCTTTATGGCATTTAGGTAGAATTAAAATGGGAAGGAAACACCATGTGCCAAACACAACCTTAATAATCATTTTGGTACGTCAAGTAGACAAGAAACCTGGATCAAACCTTTTAAATTTCATTTTCTTAAATACCACCCTTACAATAATGATGGTGATGATCTATTGAAATTTGAAAGATAGCTCGTAAACACACATTAGTTTGAGACCATGAGAACCAAGGTTAAACAAGAAAAGGGAGGCAGGTTGGGCCTACTTCGGCCATTGAAAACATCAGCTCAGGCCTCAGGGTAGCAAACCCATGGCCATGCACTCAATTAGGGATTACCCATGGGCTTGGAAGAAGCAAATTTCTTACTAGAACGGGGAAAAAATTATAGGAAAGTGTATACAGCGGACCATAAACTCACATTCAATCCAAGTCTTAATTCTGAAAGTTCTTACCTCTCACCTAATTGCAATCCAATTTGTTGTTTGTTAATCATGATGGATGGTGAAATGGAATAGTGATTAGACCTGTTCATGGGCCAGGCTCAGGTTAGTGATTAAAGCTATTCATGGGCCGAGTTCAGACTTGACTTTTGCCAAAATTTTAAACCAAAACGGTGAGATGTAACATTTTCTTTTTTTTATGTTCCTTTTTCTTTTGTAAACAATGAAGATTCAGATGAAACGTATGATGATTAACAACTTATATTACGGGCGATGCACAATTTCATAATGTAGCCTATCGACTAATAAAACGTATGTTATTGGCAGGAGATCCCAACTCGTAGGAAAGAAGAGCAGCTTGAGCGTTGGGTTTGGGCTCATTGCCAAAAGCTTCGCTTTGTTGTTGGGGGCCCAAACAATTGCTACCGACGGGTTGTTTGAGCTCATTGATAGCCAACAAGAGTGAAGCGCTTCACATCCTCTCCCTCTTCGTATGGCTACGGCTGACTGCTGCTTTGGTCAGGTAGCATGCATTCCTTCAACAGCACAATGAAAATTGATAAGAAACGGATCCTTTGTGTTGTGGCCAACGAACGCAACTAACCAACAGAATGAAAACTAATTCAACCAATTCTTCTTTCTCTCATAGAAATTGATCAGCTTCAATATTAAGGACGCGTTTTTTGTTTGATCCAATGGGCAGACCAAGCATTTCTCGACCATATACAGCGCCTAACTCCTTTTCTTTTGCAATCTATATTTCATTTACGTAAATAGGTGAAGTAACAAAATGGCGCATGTATTTCAACATTGAAGATCAACTCTTCTTATTTTATATAATCTGATCCACAATATTATTAATTATTTTCTGCGGGGTAGACCTGTTCATGGATTGAGTAATCCTGACGGGTTAGCCCGGCCCAACCCATTCTATGTTGGGTTTGGAAAAACATTTAAGCTCACGGGCTTGAGCTTGGGTTCTAAACACTGGGCCTAATTATGTTTTGGGCCGGGCTTGGACTTGCCCAAATAAATTTGGCTTGAGCCCAAGCCTAACTTATAAGAGTATATACACAATAAAATATAATATATATTATCTGATATATAATATATTATTAATAATATATAACTCATATATTACAAAATATCTGCCTAAGTCAGGCTTAAGGCTTTATATAGGGCCAAGTTCGAGTTTAAAATCTAGGCCTAATGGCCAAGCCGGGCTCATGCTCAAGCCTATCATTTTCTGTTTATAAAGAAGCAAATCCGGCCTGCATCGACCCATGAACAGATCTGGTGCGAGGGTAGTTTACGATTCAAGAAGCATAGGTTTGAATGTATCTCTGAATGCATAATTCTCTTAACAATGTAAATGGAAACCCTAGAGAACGCCATCAATCCCCTTGGGGATCGATCCACAGGCGTTGTTGACCTATGCATCATTACTCAATCTGGTATCATTTTGACTTCAGTCATCCTTAAGAAGACTGTGATTGCTTAGAAAGCCCTAACTCTACGTTGAGATGAACCCTACATCTTATTTATTGAAGAAAAGATACAAAAATCTTTGGATCCATTGTAGTTTGCCTTTGTTGGTAAATGCATTAACAGGAGATTGCCCTTCCTTGAGATTAAGGTGTTTCTGGTAAGAACTTTTCACCTAAAGAAAAACCTAGTTATTACTACTTTGGATTCATGCAACATTCTCATTAGATTTGCTGTTGACGATGATTTTTTTAAGAGTTTAGTTGAGTGAGTTCTTTCAGATTAGGGAAAATTCCTTATCAGTATTCTCTACTTTGGCTCGAGTGACAATTTGGTTTCTAAACTTAAAATGCGACAATTCAGTACTCTAATTTTCAAAATGCAACAATCAAGTATCCGAACTTTCAAAATGTAATAATCCAATATATGTCATTAATCAGCCATTAAGTGACATTTGAAAAGTCAAAAATGCCCTAAGAATGCCATATAATGTTCTTTATCAGCTATGCAAACATTGACAATAAAACGAACAATCCCAAATTCTAAATTCTTCTAAATAATCACCAACTTTTTTGAATAGAAGAGGCTAGTATTTGGGACTGTTTAGTTTTTTTGTCAACATTTGGATGGTTGATAAAGAAAAATAGATGGCATTTAAAGGGTATTTTTGACTTTTCAAAATGTCACTTGACGACTAATTAACAGTAGGTACTGGATTGTTGCATTTTAAAGTTTGGAGACCAAATTGTCACTCGAGCCAAAGTAGAGAAAATTTTCCTTTTAGATTAAAGATATCAGTTTCAGCAATTTAAATGAACTCCAGCGTTTGATCTTGGGATCAAGCCCTCTATAGTATTGATTTGGATATCGTTCCCCAAACTTCCTCTCAATCTTTATAATGAATGCGTCCTACGAGCCATCACAAGTTGTAGGTCAAGTGCTCAAAATTGATCCTACTAACTTGAATCTTACCAATACAACTAAAGCAAGGGTTTGTGAGGAAGATGATGATGCGCAATCTGGCCGGTCTTTGTTGTCAATGACCTTGCCTTTGAATCGAGTAGCGGGGACCTGAAACGGAGGAGATGAAGAAGCTCCGGGGAGAACCCGGTGTAAAAGCTCCGAAGCTTAAGTTAGAATCTTTCAAAGGCAAGATAAACCAGATAGCGCAAAGTTTGCCTACCTCCTCTTTGGGGGTGGAGCGCCTTTTATAACCACCTCGCGCACTCACTCCTAGGCTCCTGTCAGGTCGGAAATGAGTATTTCCGTGCTTCTACCAGTCCGGGCGTCATCGCCTCTGCTTGGGCAGAACCGTCACTGCTCCTTTTGTCGGAGCCGTCTCTGTAACTGGAGGCAGTGGTGACAAGTGACGATGGCAGGGGGCCGTTGGAAATGCGGCCGTCAAGCGTCAGATCCCAAGTCAGTCAGGTGCGCCGCCCTCGGATACGGACTCCTTCGGTGTCAGGTACGGCGTGGTTCGTCCAGTTCAATGCTCCAGAAGCGAAGTGCCTGGAGTGGTGCGTAAGGCAAAGTTTCGAGTTCGGAGAAGGGGAGGCCCCGAACTGTCAAAAGGGCCCGTTCGGGTCTCTGCTTTGTGTGACGGGGTCAAAAGGGAGAGTTCGGGCTCCTTGCAAGGAGTCCGATCACTAAGTAGGGAGTTCGGGCCTCTTGCTAGGGAGTTCGAACTCTAGGTAGGGAGCTCGGGCACTAAGTAGGGAGCTCAAGCACTAAGTAGGGAGCTCGAGCCTCTTGCTAGGGAGTCCGAGCTCCAAGTAGGGAGCTCGGGCCTCTTGCTAGGGAGTTCGAGCTCTAAGTAGGGAGCTCGGGCCTGCTGGTCCCTTCCCTTTGGCGTTTGTACCCTCGGTATGCTGTCTTGAATGCCGAGCTGCTTGCCTTTTTTGCCACGTGCCGTGATTTGCGAGGTCGGGCCAAATCTTCCTTCATCAGAAGAGAAACAATTATTTATGAGACCCTCAAAGGCTTTGGATAGGTAGTAGATAGATGGATTTTGGCAACCAATTATTTATGAAAACCTCCAATATTACTGTAACTTTTGTATCAATGTCGGTCACATAGAAAACCCCTGTTAGTTGAATAAAAAAACATGAAGAGAAACAAGATGATAAGGAGGAGGATGTGAGGATGAAGCAAATATCGGTGCTCTTCCTAATTCATCTAAGAAGATGAAAAGTGATGAGAGTAACCTAGAGTGTTCTTAGATTGGGGATCCTACAGTTGCTGTGAGTGTTGAGCCAGAGCAACCAGAGTATTCTAATCCGCATCCTATTCCTGATGATCAATATACTATTATTGGGGACATGTTAGGTGTTCGGGTAAATGGCTCTATGAACAATAGTGCAAATTAAAACACACCTGCACAAGTTCCAAAATTAAGTGAGATGAAATCAACAAAATGTATTTGACAAAATGTCAATAAGGACACATAAAAGGAACCTGACTGGGTAAAGGGAGGTAAGCAAAAGCTTTCTGACATAGAATCGCAATAGATGATGCAAATGGAACAAGAAAATGATTAGAAGAGTGCAATGTTGGCATGCTGTATTTTCTTTAGCTAAGGTTAAATCAATGAAATTGTGACACAGGAGATTGGAATCCATGACAATGTATACTTCCTTCATAGTAAATGTCGTCATTACAGAGATGGGGGTGTTTTTGATAATATATGTGTAATGACCTTTGTTTATATGGCCACTTCTGCAAAGAAAGCTGAACCTGTATTGAAATTGCAGGAGACAAATAGTTCAAATTAGGATTGGGTTAAAGTGAAAAAGTAAGAGAAAGAAAAAAGAACTAAATTCTAAAGGATCTAGAAAGTGCCTCGTTAAGAAAGTGTTCATAGATCCTCTAAAACAAGCAAAGGCTACCACCCGTTTATTAAGGATGTCAATCATATTTAAAAATTCAATTTTAAATTTGAGATTCCACATAATCGAATCAAATTCGAAAAATTCAAATATCTAATCGGTTGAATTCGAATATTCTATTCATATCAAATAGTTAATCGTATTCGAATTCGGATATGACTTGATTTGATTCGATAAATATCCAAATTCAATCAATTATTTAATTCTTATGTATAATATATAAAATATTTAAATGTTTTATATAATACATATAATAATTTATTATATAAATAATTTATATACTTTATATAAATAAATATTTATTTTATATATTTATTAATTATCTAAAATAATTAATCGATTAAATTCAAATCGAATCGAATATTCAAATATTTAATTGAATTCGAATATCAATTTTTAATATCCATCTGATATCGCATTTTTTGTTTACCCATATCTGTCATTCTTAAATTACTCTTGTTGTTTTATTTTCAGCTTTTTTTTATCAAACTCCAGCTCTTATTTTTTTTCAAGGATAAGGTCTCATCTCATGCCCCCTCATTTTTATTATTAATAAAATTTTCTGTTTTTTCTTACAAAAACTATTTTGTGCATGGAGTATAGTCTCTCTTTTTAATTTAATCAAATTCCTTTTTCTTGCTGAAAGGAATAAGACAAAAAGAGTTTGGAGGAAGAAAGTTGTATTATATGACCTGTACAAGCAACACGTGGCAAGTTATTTATGAAGAATGGCAACACCCAAGCAGATATAATTAACATAATGCGCCCTTACTCTCGCTTAATTAGGTTGTAAGACACACGTATATGGTTTTCAGATTCAAATATAAATATATAATCAGAGTTGGGTTGTATACAAGAAGAGAGATGCGGTGAGAACAGAGGACTTCGATATCAGAAGAAATGAGGAGCGACGTGCATGATTGTCGAGAGCAACCGGTTTCAGTTTTCACACAGAGGATACTACTTACTAGCTATAGCTAATTAAGTAGCTACTTCAAATCGGGTTCAGTCATCGGTGTGTTCCATGCCAGAAAAATGTCTGTCGTGCAGGAAGAATATTGAGAATCAAATTAATGAGTTAAAACTGCTGCGAAAGGCCATTGACCAATTGGTCAAGAGCATGCAATAAACGGGAGATAGTAGCCCCTTGTCCTACTCCTATACAGCCTGTCCATGAGATAGCCCCTTGTCCTACACCAATTATACATATAATCTAACTAAGGAGTGCAGCGTGGATTATGGGAAAAACTTTGGGTAGGAGCCAAAATATTTTCCGGGAGAGAAGCGTGGATTAATAGGAGTTAAATATTTTCCGGCTGTTGGGGACCAACAGTCAAAGATCAATAGGTAGACTTTGACATCTACGCTGTCTTTTGGTTTGATAGAAAATAAGAGCTAGAGAAACGGAATGTTGACGGAAAGAATGGTTTTTTTCCATTCCAAATTCGCTAGACTTTGACTTCTCTGCATGACCGATCCCATATCTGCCATTTCATGTGCATGATTTATTCAATATAGCATTAGCACTATCCATTAGGATGGCAAACAGATCGGATCGGATTAATTGGTAAGGGGTGTATTTGATCCGATTTCTTAATAAATCCATCCGATCCGAATCCGATAAGACTTCTTTGGATCCTCGAGAGTATATTGAAATCTCAATATTTTATCGGATATCCGATTCAATCATAATTTAATAAAAAACTTAATAATATAATATAATTAATATATTATATCATTTATATAATATAATAGTATATTATGATATATAATATTTCATAATTAATGGATCGAATTGGGTCATGGCGGATTGGATTGGTATATATCCAAATTCGGTTTATTAAGTGAATGGATCGACTTATCCGATCTGAACCGATTTGTTTGGATCAAGGGAGATATATGAAACCGGTTCATATCAGATGGAATTTGGATTCAAATCGGATCTAGTTATTTCGAATGTTAATCTTAGAACATGCATATATTTAATAATTTGATCAAATGCATAATATTTGATTCGAGTAGTAGGTGTAAAGTGTGCACATGTTTTGTACATGACAATTTTTTATGATGATGATAATGATGCTAGTAAATAATATGTTTTCAAAACTTTCTACATTTTTTATAGTTTTGTCTATAAAAATGATTCTTATTTGTCACACTACATTTTGTTTAATATGATCAATATATGATGTATATTAAAGGTGTGCCCAAATCTTTTCTATATTCTTTTTTTGTATTTTTTATACTTTTGTGTGTTTGTATCTTTTAACTTTTTATTATCATTTAATTATGACATTTAAGATTGACACATTTGATGCAAAAAGTTGAACTATTGACTTGCCACCAAATAGGAAAACAACTCCATTTTTTTGTTGATTTTAAATTTGTATTTTTTTATCATCAATAAAAATAATTATTCTTTGGCACACTTATTTTTCTTTAATATGATTAATTAATATAGGATTTAATGAAAGAATGGGAATTAATACCCTAAGTAATAAGACCCCGTTCATTTTTTGGGAAATAGGAGGGAGGAAAGTGGTTCCTGACTTTCTATTGACCAACTTTCCTAGGGGCCCTGCAATAAAGCTACTTTCCATGGATAAGTGATATCCATCTCTTAGGTAGGTAATTAACTTTCCTACCTAAGGGAAAAGTTTACAAAACATAATAGGACAAATTTGTCCATTCTAAAATTAGTTTTTGTGAATAAAAAAAGTCGTTGTATAACTTAACTATGAATAAAAAGAACATGGGTAAATGAGCTTACTCCAATAAGTGTTTCTCAGGAATCATTTACTTGGTAAGTGCATTTACCTAGAGTGAATGGCCTCTTGAAAAACAAATGGGGTCTAAAACTTAATGAGAGGAAATTGAATGAGGAGAAATGTAATAGTCCAAATTACATTTGTACCCCCCTAATTAGAGAGGGACCAAGTTCAAAAGTAGGGGTATTCTAGTCAAAAATAGGATTCAATGAATGTTAATGGGAATTAATAACTTAAATATAATACTTAATGAGATGGATTTGAATAAGGAGAAAAGTGATTGTTCAAATTACATTTTTGTCCTTACAATTAGAGAATGGACCAAATTCAAAAATTGAGATATTTTAGTCAGACAAAAGTTCCGTGCTATCACTCACACTTTAATTTTAATAGTAGTATAGATTAATATCTTATATTTGAATAGATTTATTATAGAAATTAAGAAATAATTAATATTTTTATAACCTTTTAGTTCTTTATTTTATAGATATTAATGTGGATTCAAATCGAACATGTATCATACCCGATTAAAACCCTTGGTAGAAGACCTTGTTTGGTCAAACATACAAGCTCTTGTCCACATTGGCTTGTTTCCCTCCCTATATTCATTTATTCTACAAAAAATATTGACCAAGCCAATTTGTATCCTACAACAAGTGTCTCATTATTAGAGGATAAAATAAATTAAAGAACCTCTAGTTACCATTTTGAGCACAAGTCAATTTGTCACATGGAGATTTGGCTTTGACCTCACTTGAAAGACCCATTGGGAATAGTAAATGTGCATGTGCTTTGTACATGGCAATTTTTTATGATGATAGTAAATAATATATTTCCATTTTTTTACAATTTATATTTCTATGTCTATAAAAATTATTCTTATTGTCACACTTATTTTTGTTTAATATGGTGAAATATACGATATTAGAGATCTGCCCAAACCTTTTTTATATTTTTTTGTATTTTTTATACATTTATTCAGTGTATTTATCATTTTTAACTTTTATTATCATTTAATTATGACATCAAATGGGATGACACATTTTCCTTAATAGGTTGAATTGTTGGTTCACCACCAAAGAAGAAAACAACTCCGTTTCCGAATTAGTTTTAAATTTGTATTTTATTTCTATTATCAATAAAGATATTTTTTTGTCATATTTATTTTCTTTAATATGATTAATTAATATAAGATTTTATGAAAGAATGTGAATTAACACCCTAAATATAAGACTTAATGAGAGGGAATGGAATAAGGAGAAATGTAATAATTCAAATTACATTTGTACCCTCACAACTAGAAAAGGACCAAATTCAAAAAATAGGGGCATTCTAGTCAATAACATGATTTAATGAATGTCAATGGGAGTTAATAACTTAAATAAGAGTTAATGAAAGGGATTCGAATGAAGAGAAAAGTGGTTATTCAAGTTACATTCCTATGCTTTCAATGAGAAAGTGACCAAATTAAAAAATGGTATATTTTGTTCAAACAAAAGTTCTACACATTCTCGTTACACAACAAGCTAAGGTCAAGAATTCATAAATTAATTTCTTCAAGTAATATTTGACCATATGAACTATAGAGTGGGCTTAAAGACTCAAATTTGTGGTGGCGCTTTCTCAGTCTTAGTCAAGCCTTTCAATCTCTTCCACTTTGTTTTCTCTACATTTTCTTCATTCCATTTTTTATTTAAATAGAAGACGTGATGTTCTTGTTCTCGTTGTTGTAGTTGTTCTCTTCTTTATCTATCTTCTTGTTTATTGTTAGGCTTTGGGAAATGAACACTCCTAGTGGATCAACTAAACCCGACCGTAAAACTATTTAGAGAAACAGAAGAATTCACATGAAACGTCTCTGCTTAACGCTTGATTCTCTTATCCCTAAGCACCAGAACGTCTATAGGGTACTCTCTCTCTCTCTCTCTCTCTCTCTCTACTGCAAGTTCTTATGATCTTAATAATCAAACTGGAGAAATATCTCCACACGGACGATCTGAGTGTATTGGGAGCTTTTATTTATAATTTGTTCTGTAAGTGCATGTTACAACGGATCAGCATTGTTATGTAGAGATAGAATTCCAGTTTCCAGCTGATATTTATAATGTGGGTGTGTGTGAAAGCAATCATGCTTAAATTCTTCTGATTTTTTTTGTGTTTCAGGATGCAACCAATCAAAGAGATCGGTTAGATAATGCCGCCAGTTATATAAAGCAATTACGTGAAAGAATAGAAGAACTGAAAGAAAGAAAGCAATTAGCAATGCGTATAAAAGGAATTAATAGCAGTATGAGAGATTCCATGAAAACTGATGATGTGGGACTGCCTGTACTTGAACTTAGAGAATCAGGTCCTAATCTTGACGTCGTTTTGATTAGCGGGTTGAATAAAAGCTTCATGTTTCATCAAATAATTTGTGTTCTTGAAGAAGTAGGAGCTGAAGTCGCCAATGCCAGTTTCGCTTGTGTGGGAGATAGAATCTTCCACACAATTCACGCTCAGGTAGTTACTCATTGCTTCCTCGATATTTTTTTCTGAAGTTGATCAGATAAATTAATAGATTCGAGAGCTAAGCTGCTAACAAACTATCAAGCTAAGGTTGCTTTATTTGATTGCGTCTATCTTGTAATAATTTAGGTCAAGTGCTATAGAGTTGGTATTGAAACTTCAACGATAAGTGAAAGATTGAAGGAGGTGGTTCATTCAAGATCATTTGCCTACAGTAGCAGCATGGGAGGAGAGTCAGGAGACAATCAACCAATGCGAATTAACTAGCTAGATAGTTTAATTTGATTTTAGAGCTATATAAAGTGTCCGATGGGTATATCTGCGCCCAATAGCATCGCTTATAAGCTATGGCCATTAGACTGTACTGAGTTTCTTCCTCGTTAAAAAGTTGTTCAGGAACCCTATTAGTGTCAATTAATGGTTAATTTATCTCTCAAATGATTGTCAACAACCTTAATTGTATCGATTTTAAAAACAATAAAAAATAAGAGAATTTTAGGGTCTGTTCGGTTGATGAACAGAATTAGAATCTGATTCTTATTATATTTCTGGTGGAATGACATTCCCCTATTTGAGGGAATGAGAATCCATTCCAATCAATTCTGATTCCAATTCCAATTTAAACCAAATAGTGGGGAATATATCATTCTAATTCCGATTTCGATTTTGATCCAAATGGACCCTTAATAGTATCAAGGTCCTACATTGAATGATAAATGGGTACAACAACATATGATATCTCCTTGGCCTATAACCTATTATTAAAGTAAATTTATGGTTTACTCCCCTTACAAATTTTTATTTATTTTAATATATTGTCCCATGTAAAAACCCCTAATTAAAAGAATCTATAATTAATTAATGGGATGTTATTGGACCAGAGCATGATTCCAAGACCAGTATGTTCACAGGAGGGGTGCAACTTGGGCGGGCTCAGCCCGAACCCAAACTGGCCCAACCCGGAATTTTATATGGGCTAGGCTTGGATTTTCGGTCCTCGGGATAGGCTTGGGCCCAAGAAGTCGGGCTTTTTTATTTTTTGGGTCGGGCTCGGGCCTAGCTCTTAGCTAGTCCGAACCTAGCCCAATTATATATATTTATACATACAAACATACGTATATGTGTACATACATATTTGTATGTATGATATATACAAATATGTATATATATATATATATGTATGCAACATTTACATACATATATACATACATAAGTATATGTATATATATTTGCATATATACATTTATATATGTATAATTTTAAAGTGGGTTCATTAAACAACCTGAGCTGAGTGCATCAAATTACAGGACAGGCTGAGCTCACACTAAAATGATAATAAGAATTGCTCCTCAACATATTGAGCCAAAAAAAAATCCAAAGGTCCAAACTCTCAAAGAACTTGATGACCTTTTCCCTAGCTATTCAATTGCATCTCATCTTGGTTCCATGCCAACTTTATTGTGCAAATAGACCGTATCGGGACCAAATGCATCCAAGTACGTCGTGTAGCGTACTTTTTTTTTTTGCTACGTGATAAGATTTTTATTGAATAAATTAACGGGATAAACACTCAGGTGGACTGGTCGTATAGCGTACATAGACAGCACTAGACCTGTTCATGGGCTGGGTCGGGCCGGGCTTGAGCCGGGCTTTTACTCTTTATTAATAGAAAAATGTTAGGCCCGAGCCTGAGCCCGGCCCGACCAACGGGCCTACAACTTGGGCCCGAGCCCGGCCCTGATAAAAAGCCTGAAGCCCAACCTAATAAAAGAAATTCGAATTTTTCCCTATTCAAATGGACATTATCTATTTTAATTTAGATGTTTTCCCCTATTTAAATGAACAATGGGCCTACAAGTGAATCAACAATCTTCTTAAATCAAAAATGATATTCAAATGGACATCACATAGGGTTTTTACTTAGGTTTAACTATAGGTCAGGCCGGATCGGGCTCAGGCCAAGCTATTTTGGCAAAGCCCGAGCCTGGCTCGAATTTTATGCGGGCCGGGCTTTTTGGCCTGAGATTAAGCCTGCAGGCCAAAAAGCCTGTTCAAGCTCGTCCGGAGGCCGGCCCGTCGGGCCACCCGGCCCATGAACAAGTCTAGACAGCACAAAGAGCATTTGCAAACTCTCAAGGCAAAGACTTTTCACATTCTCACCAGTGTTCGGAAGTGTTTAACGCTTGAAATCACAAAGATGAAAGACCCCACCAAACAGTTAAACAGCCTTGGCTGCATGGAAAACTTTTCAAAGTCCTTCCCAACCTTTTAATCAGTATTTTTGGGAAAAACTTTGGCTGTTGGGGGCCAATAGTCTTTCCTGTTGAGAGAGTTTCTGAGTTGGGCACGTTAACATGAGAGTGGGCAAATTAGTAATTGCCTTTTGATTTATTTTGAGTAAAAACAAAAGCATGCCCATGAATTGGTGAATTGTCGTGAATGTGCCCAACTCAGAAACTCTCTCAATAGGAAAGGTTATTGGCCCCCAATAGCCAAAATTAACCCCTATTTTTGATAGAGAGCTCTTCTAGAATCATGGATAACAGCATCCGGGATATAAATCTTTGAAAATGTCAATGTCTGTTATAAGGGGCAAATAAGCTACATATTCAATGAATTCGAATGAGGGCATCCCCCATATGCCAATTTCTGAATAAGATCGATCTATACACATATATATACATACTAGTAAAAGTGTACATGCGTTGCACGTGACAATATCAAATGATGATGATTATAATAGTAAGCAACCAAATGACCTTATTGGTTGAACCATTAACCTATTTAACCAGGAAAATGGACTATGATTTAAGACTAGGGGTGCAAATCGGGTTGGCCTAAGTTAACAATTTACACTATTTTGGGCTCGGGTTCCAGGTCGGGCCTATTGAAATTTTGACAAAATCGTAACCCTAACCCAAAAAAGTTGCACCCCTAATTAAGGAATTAATTCATTTTTTTCTTTATATTTTAGTCATTTTTATTTTTACTAACAATAATTCTTACCTTTTCAAACATATTTTTGTTTAATATAAAGAATATATAATGTTAATGAATGTTTGAATTTTTCTATAAAATTTATAAAAAATTCTATATTTTTATTTTCTATTATTTAATTTATGAGATAATAAAAAATACTTATTTATCAAGAGGAAATGCAATTCCAATATATTGTTTGAATGTTGGTTTTTAATATTGTGTTCAAATCAATTATTTATATATATATCATTTATATATAATATATATGTTATTTATTATTTATTTATAAATAAGTTATTTATATTGCACTTTTGTAAACTTCTTATATGATGAAAATAGTTGAAAAAGTACTTATATCTTTTGTTTTTTATTTCAACTATTATATTATCTTTTCCTTTTAATAATTTATTATTTTTGTAAATTAAATAGGGCCTTATCAAATTCGGATATCCAACATATTGATCAAATTCAGATTTGAATCAATATTTTTGAGATTTGATCAAATCTTTGGATTGAATCGAATTCAAATATACCCCGATTCAAATCCGATTTGATTTATTTGCATCTCTACCAAACCACTTGCCTACAATGACCTAGTTAATTAAATCATTGAACCATTTGACATGGTTAGTGGGGTCATGTGTTAGACATTAATGCTTTTTATTTTTTTACCCTAATTTTTATCCAATTTCTATCGTTAGTGAAAATAATTCTCAATAATCACACTTTTTTATATGATGAATATATGATATTATAAAATGTATCTAAAATTATCTACAAATTTCTATATTTTCTAGAATTTTATGTATTTTATTATTTAATAATAGCATCATGTGTTGATCCATTTGACATGGATAGTTGAACCACTAACCCACCACTTGGATGGAAAAACCATTTTATATTTTCAGTTGATTTTAAATAATGTTTTACATTTTCATCATCAATAAAAATAATTCTTATTTCCACATTTATTTTTGCACGTGACAGTATCAAATGATGATGAAGATGATGATAATCGATAACCAAAGGACCTTACTGGTTGAACCATTAACCTATTTAACCAGAAAAATGGATTATGATTAAGACATTAATTCATTTGTTTATTTGTATTTTAGTCATTTCTATCTTTACTAACAATAATTCTCATTTTCTCAAACTTATTTTTGTATAATATGAAGAATATATAATATTAATGTTTGTTCAAATTTTTTTATAAAATTTTTTAAAAAATTCTATTTATGTTTTTTATTGTTTAGGTTATGAGATAATAAAAATTAATTATTTACCTAGAGAAAATGCAATTCCAATATATTGTTTGAACATTGGTTTTTAAATATAGTGGTCAAATCAATTATTTATATTATAGTATATATATTATTTATATATAATATATACATTATTTATTATTTATTTATAAATGTGTTATTTAAATTGCATTTTTGTAAAACCTTTTATATGATGGAAATAGTTGAAAATTACTTATATTTTTTGTTTTTATTTCAATTATTATATTTTTCTTTTTTTTAATAATTTATTACTTTTCTAAAAATTAAATAGAACCATATCAGATTCGAATATCTGACATCTTGACCGGATTTATATTCGAATCAATATTTATGAGATTCAGTCGAATCTTTGGATCATATCAGATTTGAATATACCCTAATTCAAATATGATTTGATATGTTTGCATCCCTACCAAACCACTTGCCTACGATGACCTAACTAATTAAATTATTGAACCATTTAATATGGTTAGTTGGGTCATGTGTTAGATATTAATGCTCTTTATTTTTTATATCATTTCTATCATTAATGAAAATAATTCTCATTAAGCACACTTTTCTATCATGAATGTACCCAAAATTATCGATAAATTTCTATATTTTCTAGAATTTTATGTATTTTATTATTTAATAATAACATCCATCTGACATGGATAGTTTAACCACTAACCCATCACTTGAATGGAAAAACCATTTTGCTTTTTCGGTTGATTTTAAATCATGTATTCCATTTTTAACATCGATAAAAATCATTCTTATTTTCACATTTATTTTTGTTTAATATGGTGAATATATAACAATAGAATTGTATCAAAATACTTTATACAAATCTTATATTTTCTTTGAGTTTGTATGTATGTATATATTTAATATTTGTTATGTCATGACATCATAAATTGACTCATTTAACCCATAATGTTAGATCATTGACCTACCCACCATCTAGATATGGAAAGTGACTTCATTTTCAAACTTTAAATTTTGCATTTCATTTATATCATT